TGATCATTCAGACACTTAATTTTCTTCCAGATGTCCTCATCTGGACACATCACAAGCCCTTCTTGATCTGCTTGTGTACAGCACACAAGGCCAGAAGGGCTAATTTTCTATCGTCACCACAGTCAACACAAAAAAAAGCAGCACACGCATGAACTGTGGAGCATATGGTCAGCTCCAGGCTGTGTCCACACTGGAGAGGTGGTGAGCACATCTACGACAGCATCCTTCGCACTTGAGGATTATGCAGAGGCGCGTGCTTAAAGTGAAGTTGCTCTTTTGTAAGTAACCCTAGGATTGCTTTGGTGTCTGCTTTAAGCAACATACTGGCCTATGCTGTTATTTAGAAACTGATTTGTACCAGGATTAATCTAGGATAAGGTTTCATCGAGTTATGTCAGATGGTGTACTGCCTTTTCTTGTCTTTTTGATCCTTAACAGCAAGCCTAACAACAGTTTCCAGCAGCCACTGGTATTGCTGAGTAGATTCAGAGTTTTATCCAGTTGAGGACATCTCACTTTCTTATTTCAGGAACCATGAGCAATTTCTAATGTTATTCCAAACTTTCTTTTGAGATTGCTAGATGAATGCTTGGAAGAGAGACCCGGTAACTGGTCTTTGAGATCTGTATTTTTGTATATTAGTACTTTACACAGATGGGAATGGTGTAAGGCCATGGAAAGTTACAGTCAGCCATGGTCAGATGTAACTGCCTCCAGCACTCTTCACAAGCCCATGTATGTCTCCATTCCTGACCCTGGACTATGTTGTGTGGGATATGTTACTGCTCCCTGAAGGTCTTTGATAGGCCTGACCAGGGCATTGGCTAAGCTGAGCCCAGTCAGCTTTTCTCCAATACATTGGAAAAAAAGCCCAAGAGCACTATAATACCAAATTTGAAAAATGTTAGTATTTCTTTATTGACAAAGTTTGCTGGCGTTGGCTCAGGTCTGTTCATAAACAAATCAAACTCTTTTAGCTTTAAAATATCCTTTAAAGCAAATTGTACAATGAGGAGAGATCAGAGTAGTACAAGAAGTTCAGGGTTGTTCTGAGGACTTCTGAACAAAGAAACGAGGGAAGAATTAGCTGAGGCAAACCAGTGGTGACCACATCTCAGTTATTTGCAAACAACATTTAGGAACATTTATGCCTTTGTTGATTCAGTTTCACTACTGCGAATAAAATGATTGCCTGAACAATTCTAGCAAGGTGCTGTGAAAAGAATTTGTTGTTTCATCAAGCTTCACTATGAAACTCTAGCATGAGTAAAACCCCTAGTAAATGTGTAATCAGAAATGCTGGAAATATCCCAGCCTAGCTAAGGGTCTTTAAAATAGGAGAGGTACAACCAGATAAGCACTGCTTTCCTTATCAGGTTCTTTACTTGAGCAAGGTTCTCCAAGGTTACTGCAAGGCAATCATGCTTATCTGGCAGGAATTACATAAGAGTCAATGTTTTTTTATTGCTAAAATCAGAATGATACTCTCTTTCCAAGTTCAGGATGCCAAGATCAGATGACAGCTGGTTAAGCACCTCCCTCCTTGTGACTGGCTTACCCTTGTGCTTGGCAAGAGGCAATGGACAGAAGGTAACAACCAGTGTCCTGGGCATACAGCTTGGCAGCTTGCACACCTGAAAGCACCAGGCGAAACATCAGAGCGAGATTTAGAGGAACAGTATGCATTGATAGCCAAGGACATGATTAACACCAATCAAACTAGTAAGATCTGAGGAATGTGTTGCTTGCACTGTGATGTGCCACAGAGAAGGTGACTCATCAGCAGAAGACCTGCACCTGTTAACAGAAGGACAGCAGTGGGGATACAGCACGTTTCATGTGCTGTTTCTCTTCCTGTTATCCCAACAGCAGGGTCGGTTACACTCCTGTGACACCTCAAACAAGAAAATGAAAGACATCCAGCAGCAATGTAGCCTAATATTTATGAAGCATGAAGTTTACAAGATGCAGAAGCAAAACACCACGCCATAGTAACTTTCAACTCCTAAAGGACCTTAGAGGCCAAGAAAGAGTTGGCCTTTGGGCCTCAAGCAGAACCCAGAAGGCACATGGAGGACTCAGTAGCTGGCAACCCTTGCCGTCCATTTCACAACCAGCTGACCTTGGCCAGACCATCTGGATACACAAATTTGGCCCTTCTGAGAATGTGTGTATGAGTGCTGATTGGTATAGACTACTCGGTTGGAAAGTTAAACAAAATACCTTTCTGTTTCTAAACGATCTTGAGTTTTCTTACATTTTTTCCCACAACAATACTGAAAAACATCCTGTGAGTGTGGTTATACAGCTTCATTTTAAGATGCCCATGATAGTCTATCTAATATTTGGTTGTGCACCCTACCATGTATTACTGGGTCCTGACAGTAGGTTAATACTAGTAACTATTTACATCTCTGTTAAGTGTACAATCACAGCAGTATCATGATGGTATTGCTCTTTCCACCTAAACTTGCACCTATGTGTGAAAACACACAACTCTGGTCTCCTAACTTCAAATAACTCGCAAGTCTTCATTTCTTCCCTTCACTAAGCTACATAAGAGTTTGTTGTTAAAAAGCTAGCTGCTCTTTGTTGGCAACTTCCTTCCTTCTGCCACAGTTATGATAGGTACTGGTGCTAAATCAAACACTAGCCTCAGCACTGATACACTGCTCCGATAGCCTCATCCCAGGGCCTGAGGATGCTGGAGAAGTCTCTGCTGCCTTTCCAACCTCTATTAGTACCTAGTACTAGTACTTAGTACCTCTGCTAGATAACTAGTACTCAGTGGAGGTAGAAGGCAGCAGACTTGACAGTGGATGAAGTAGCCAACCACACAAGTAAAAGGCAAGGTCTGTCTTGGTGCTGTTGATGGTAAAGTAGAAAAACACAAGCTGGGTATGGGTTTCTCCATCCATGTTTTTTAACTCCTCTTGGGACACACAATGGAACTGCCCTCTACACAATATGTAAAGCCTATCTTATGTAGTGGCATTTTTGCGCTCATGGGAGTGGGAAGGCATTTTCAAAAGCACAAAGTAGACACAGGGGCAGAAGTAAGGCAATGAAACAGTGAAGGCTCTGGCCGCACCCACTGTCAGGAAGATAGTGCCCACACACACAGTCCCTTTGTGTCAGCGGTCATGGCACTGATAGAAAATTACAGCTTGGTGGATGGAGTAATGCATGAATTAGGCTGTGTTTCACAACTCGCATGCCACTCATAGACTGTGGCTGGTATGAACATTAGAAGTCAACCTTATCCATGACCAGGAAATGTATATTCAAGCAGAGTATCTGGTAGCCAACCAAACGCTCAGTCTTTCAGGTGGCTACCAAGGAGCTACAGAAAGGCATAGGCTGTGAGGTTATGGTGGTGGACCAACACCTTCGCTCTGTGCAATACTTGTCACTTCAGCCAAACGGAGGCGTTGCATAAGCTCTCCTCCACTCTGCCGTCCTTCAGCAAGATGCTAAGCTTGGTGTTTTCCAGAAAACATTGCAGAGGTTTTGCAACTTGCCAGTTGCAAATACAATACTGCTTGGGCATAAGGGTTATGTGGAAGTTGCATGGGCCACTGGCACTTTTGAAGAGTGGTGTAGTCACCAAGTGTCTCCCACCCAGGCAGCCAGTGAAGCCTGACCTGTTCTTGGTGTGTCTATGGAGAGGTCAGCATGATCCTGAGGCCTTGTGAAGCTGGTGGAGCCCAAGTCCTTTCATTACCCCAGGAGCTCTTCTAAGAGGCATTCCCAAGGGCCCCTGGGAGTTAAAAAATTACACTTTATAAAGAAAACCTGCTGATATTTTTTTTACTGTGGCTATCATGAACTTAAGGTGCAACTCCATAGCTGAAATTCCTTGCCACATGGCCCCAGCTGCTTTTGGAAGCATAATCCTCCGCAAGCACGACAGTCATGAACACATGGCCAAGCAGAGGAAGTTGTCAAAGATATGACCAGCATGCACAATGCTTAATTGGAAGACACGTGATATGGTCCAGCGTGGTGCCAACATAGCAGGGTTCTGACACAATGTGCTCTTTTTAATGCTTGTGATGACAGAGACACCATTCCCACCGCCAGCCTGATCAGATACGACAGCGGGCTCTGCCTGGTCGTGTATTTTCCACTGCATAATTCAGATTTGCATTGGAGCTATCCTGATGGCAAAAAAGCATTGATTGCTTTTCTTCTTGGTAATACCACATAGAAGTTTATTAGGAATGTTTCAGAGGGCAGATATGTGTCGCAGTGCAGGAGACTCATTGGGAGGGGGAAGAAGGGAGGTAGAGAGTAAGCAGATGGCTGGTGAGAAGTTTTGCAACTCATGCTACTGGGTTGAAGTTAAGCTCTAACTTTTAAGAGCCTGGCAAAGCATTAGAAATCATTTATAATATTAACTGTGTATGTTAAAAATAGCTCTCTGCTTGGGACAGAAGTCTCTAAGGTGATCAAAAAGGTTTCTGTTTTTTTTTTTTCAGGCTGCCTTTCTTTAATAAATAGTCTTCCTACAAGGCTCTACCAGTTTCAGTTCATAGGAACCTTCTGTTAATAGTGGCTTCTGGGTGCAAAAGCTAAGCAATAGAGAAGCAGCATAAGTATAGACACAGTCATAGCCCAGCCAGCCTAAATGTATTCCTTCCATAGCGTAAACTCTTACTTCAGCTTAATTCCCTCTGTGTGACAATTGGCCCAACGGTATTTTCTATCACTTTAGTTCTTGCATTATAAAGCTGTTTTTCTTATTTTTACCATAAAAAATATAAAAATGGGTACCAGATCCAGTCTGTAGGGAGGAGTATGAAGAGCCTTGCATGGAGTGTAATAGAAGCTGGAATTGGGAATCCACTCTGCTTCCCTAGACCATGATATATGGTCTTAAGATATATAAGGAACTTAACCCATCATAAGCAAGTAGAAACAGACGTTCATAACAATGTTAAATAATAATAATAACAACAATAATAATAGTAATAGTAATAATAATAGTAATAATTTCACACAGACACAAGATGTGGCTGTTTATTGAAATCCTGGTTTTGATAAAAGCACCCGTGAACTCAGAAGATGGCATCAAGAATAAAAAGGCTATAAATTGTGAGACTTTCATGAATGTTGTAAGAAGTCAGGAGAATTTTCAATTTCCACTCTGTCTGAAAGTTTGCGGACGTTTAGCTGCAGGGGGGAGAGAGGTGGAGGGTGTGTATGTGGAGAGGGCTCGGATCACGGTGTGTGCTGGTTTTGTTGAATGGTGAGATACCACATTGCCTCTATACCATCATTAACAACTCCTGTTTCCTGAGGGAGACCTCCTCCTTTCAGCAGTATGAAGTAAATTATCAGCAGGTCAGTTAGAGAAGGGGGTAATCCCAGCCTGGATTTGATAAGACATCTTCCTGGAAGCTAGAAAGTTGTGCACGGCTCCTCTCCTGCAGCTGCAGCAAGTTGCTCAGGGCTGTGTCCAGGTGAGTTCTGAAAGTCTCTGAGGGTGGTTTTAGGTGGACCCAAGAAGTCGGCAGTAAAATTGCTGAAATTAATCTCTGCCCCCAATTGTGTGACAAAGCAAGCATACAGCAATGTGTAGGCAGGATCTCAGTTGGATTTCACTGGACTGAAACTTCCCAATATGTGGAGATTTCAGCATAAATAAAGCTCAGGCAGAGCCTCAGGAGCCCTGCAACAAATCCTATGGGGCTTGTCCTATTGTCCTTCCAGTCAGCCCGGCTTGGCAGGTTCAATATACCCCACCATCTTATCTGCCCCATGCATCAGCTCAGAGCATGACATGACATGTCCTGCCACTGGTGTCAGCAGTCAGTAAATCCTTCTAGTTTCAATCGTCGTTTCTGGAAATGATTCAAATGCATCTGCTGCTGCATGCTGCAGGAGAGATCTGCTTCTGCCAGCTCCCCTCCTGCTCGCAGGTGCGAGCCCATGGCTAAGCAGCTCCTCTTCCCTTGGGCATCTCACTGGGGCAGGTGTGGGATTCAGACAGAGCATCCTCTCTCAAAAAAGTCTTCAGCTGATCCAGAGACACCCCAGGCAAAGCAATATCCCAGCTGCCTCAGTGTTTTGGTTTTGCAAAGGCATCCCTGAGGATGCGTTCTTCAAGTCAAATGAGCACCTCAGCTATGGAAAACTTTCCACCTGGGTTTTTCTCTCCCCAGAGCCAAATAATCCGCCACAGAGGGTACCCCAGTGAGGAGTACGAAGTCCTGACTCATGACGGCTACTACATCAGACTGAACAGAATTCCTCACGGAAGAGAAAATCCTGGGAGCACAGGTACGGCCCTATTTCACAAGGAAGTCAGAAAAAAAAACCCTAACAACCCGTAACATAACAAGAAGGTGAAGGGACGAACCTTACCAGGCCAGGGGAGTATTTATTGTAAAAGCAAAAATACCAAATCCACAGTACTTCTCCAATTTACAGTCACAGCTTTAGAGCCAGAGTAGGAAAGCATGCATGTAGCACAGCAACCACCGTTCATATCAAGTAGAGACTTGGTTTTAAGGCTCAGAGGATGCAGGCGTACCTTAAGAGAGATCCTCATTTAATATTTCCCCATAAATATGTGACTTTAGGGTTTGAACAATCTCAGAGACAAGCCTGTACCTCTGAGCTTTCACATGGTTGCTGCCAGTGATCACAGTACTGAGCTTGTGAGAATGAGCGCTGGGGTCTAAAAGGCATAGAAGGGACATGCATAGCTCTCCAGCCTGAGACAACAAAGGCAACCACCACAAGACAACTACGGCAAGGATTTCTTCACCAGGAGATATCATTCAAATGCATGTTGTATGTCCTCTGGCAGTGCAAGAAAGAGGCTTTATTGGCCCGAATTTGGGATGCATAAGTAGAGAAATTCTGTTTCAATTAGATCCGCTGTTTCTTTCACATCCAGGAGCCGAGCTGGTCATGTTTCCCCAGCACGGGTTACTTGGCGAAGGCAGCCACTGGGTGGAAAATCTGGCTAACAATAGCGTTGGCTTCATACTAGCAGACTCCGGCTATGACATCTGGCTGGGAAGCAGCCGGGGGACAAGCTGGTCCCAGAGACACCAGCACCTTTCAGCTGACCAGGTTGAATTCTGGGATTTCAGGTGAGCTGGAACAGATTACAAAAGCACAGCAAACTCCTCTGCCTGTCACTAGCCTCTAGGCAGAGGTGGGTGCCTCCAAGCAGGCAAGTCAGAGCACCTAATCCCCAGGTATGGCTTCCCCCAGCCTTCCTGGCGATGTGCCCAGGGGAGATGGAGGTACCTGTGCAGACCTGCCTGCTGCATGGTGTCAACACCTCCCTGCAGCTGCCTGGCCCTGCTGAGAGCCCAGAGCACTGCTGCCCATGTGGGTACGCCCATTCTGCAGAAACATCAGCCCTACCTTAGGGCGTTTGCAGGAACCTCCCCGGACAACCCCCCCAGCAAGGTGTCCACCAGCATCATTGCCACCTCCCCTTCTTGTAGATGTTGTCCACAGAAACGGTGTCCCTAAGAACGGCTTTTTGAGCTGCTACTGCTTCTCCAGAATTGATCTTCAGAGCAGTCCTGGATTTCCCAAGCTCATTAACATGTTTCCAGTAAGAAAAACCTAATAAAGTAGGTCTGCATTTCATAAAAGACCCATGGGTAGGAACTGGTGTTCCGTTTCCTCCTGAGAAAGAGCATCTCTAGCAGCAGAGCTGGTGCTCTAATCCTGAAAAGAGCCAGCTCTGGGTCTGCAGAGCTGCTGTGTATTGCACCTGAATGCACAGCTGGCCAGGTTCTGCACAGGTTTTTTTACCACTAACTACGGTTATGAGAGGACTAAGCCCTTTCAGGATTGGATAAGGCTGTGGCAGGGCGGTTGCCTTCAGACCCTGTGCAGTTTCACCCAGCACAGGGCTCTCTTAGCTCATAGTAATTTTCTCCTGGAAAATCAGCCACAGATGTTAAGCCCTTCAGTAGGCAAGCAGCCAAAATTCACAGGAAGATTTGCTCTCCTGGTGTTACCTTACAACCAATGCACTACTCCTGTGTTGCAGCTTTCATGAAATGGCAATGTACGACCTCCCAGCCATGATCAACTTTGTTTTGCAGAAGACTGGGCAGAAGCAGATCTATTACATTGGCTGCTCCCAGGGCTGCATGTTCAGTGCATTAGAAGGGGTTGCACATCACGTTGCCTGGACCACCTTGAAAACGCTCATTTTGGTGTTTGTAAGCAGCAAGCAGAGAGGTCCCATCTTTGTAGGCAGGCAAGCTAGATGAAGATCTCTTGCAGTGAGAAGTCCCATAGCAGCCATGCTTTTCATACAAGACATCTGGGAGGACCAGCATGCTCCTAGGGTAGTAAGAAAGCTCCTGGTGACATCAGTAAGATCTTTGCTGTAACTGTAATTCAACCCAGAAAACCAAATTGCAGTTCTCCACATCAAAACCAAATGCGTTTTGCATGGAGGTCACAGTTTCTGCTCTCCAATGAAATGCACAGGGCTTCTTTTCACCAGCTGGGCCATTAGGGGGTATGAGATAACCTCTGTGACAATGATACCCTTTAGCAGTGGTTGATGGAAGATGACAGCACTGTTCCCTTCACCTGGTGAACAGGGCAGGACATCCCATCAGTGGTAGCTGTTGAAGAGCCTCATCAGTCACTTCTAACCATAGGAGTAAGGGTGTTGTCTCCTTTTGGACATCTCTAGCATTAATGTTAAGCAGAAAGGTGGCAAGAGATCCCAGATTTCTAACTGGACATAATGACAGCTAAACAGATCTGTGCAGCAGGTCCAAGCGAACCCTCAGATTAAGCACCTGAAAGGAAGATCGACCAAGTCTCAGGTTGTTTTTCTGTTTTCTCAGCATTCATTGCGTTTTCATCCATGCCAGAACTGGTGCAGAAAATCAAAATTTTTTTGCCCTGGCTCCAGTATTGACAATCAAGCACACCAAAACTCCCATCATGAAAATGTCCTTCCTTCTGAACAGGCAATTCAGGATGCTTCAGGTAGGGGATTACCCCATGCCCTCCTCCCCCGAACACATCAGTGCTCGAAAAGGGATCGTGCCCAGACATAGTCCCTGGGGCTATCCAATGCAGCAGAAGACATTTCATTCCCACTGATTTATAAGCAGAGGCATGATTCAGGTGCAGGTGCACTCCTGTACGGTCAGTATGTGGAGTGCATGCCTTCCTTCCATCTGTAGGATCTTCAGCTGTTGAAACCGGCCTTCCTACAGGGGCACTTGTTGAATTCCTGGACAGACCGCCTGGAAAAGAGCAGTTTTACTGTGTGGATTTTAATGACAGCAAAAAATGAATCCAATGCTTGGCGGAGGTGGGGGAAAAGAGGAGAGTCCCAAATACTGCTTTCCCTGGTGTGCATTCAATCCGCATCGCCTCCTGCAAGGAGCTGTACACATATCAGCGGGGCAGGAGGGCAAAGGAGAAGCGAGTTTGACTCCTGTGGGCACCCTGTGCCGCACATCCCCTCACCACTGAGCTAGTGAGACAGCTCATGGAGACACCAGCTGGCGGTGGGTTGGAGGAGATGGTCCAAAGGCTAGGCTGTAGGAAGGGAAATGCAAGAAATCAACCTCGCCCTTTGCTTCTGCAGCTTCTGCTCAGCAGGACGGATGCCTCACTGTGGATGAGGAAGCTGCAGAGGTTTCTCCCCTGGCTGTGCAGGCATCCGCTGCAGCACAAGCCCTGTGCCAACCTCTTCTTTCTGCCGGGTGGCTACAATGAGAAGAACCTCAACATGGTGGGTGTGCTGCCCCATGTGAGGACAAGGGAGCTGGAGCCCCAGGGTGCACCACTTGGGAGCACTCAGCAGCTCCTGCTGGCTCTGCCAAACCCCCTGCCTGCCCCCTCCCTGGCATGCACCCAGCCCAGCCTGCTACGGTCACTCACCCCCAGTGCTCACAAGAAAACAGGTCCTGCAAGGGCAACCTGTGTCCCTCTGCCAGATTCCTCTCTCGCTCATCTCCTTCCCAGATAGGAAAAGTCACCAGGCTCTACTGGGCAAATGTCAGTGGCCAGATGGCACTTCATAGCATCCCTGAGTTACGGCTGCCTGACGCCTAAGCCAGCTGTTCCTCCCACCAGCACCCCTGGGGTGCAGCCCTGGCTCCTACCCACTCTACATCAAGTCTGCTGAAGCAGCATCTGGGTGACCAGAGGTAGTCACTAAGGTCTTGAGCACAGTCCCTGAGCCCAGATGAGGTACCTCCGGGAGCTAGGGATACCTCATCCTTCATCACCCTTCTCCCTTTGGAGCTGTCTCAGAGCAATCGATTTTTAGTTAAAATTATATTCCTGAATGTCACCCAACTCTCTAGACAGCGTGAGTCAGCAGTGGCTGCTTTGGGAAATGCATCATCTGGCAACTGCTGTCCTCGCTCCTGTCCGTGTGAAAGCAGTGATAGCTTGAACGTGTTTCCTTGCAGACATGGCTAGATGTGTACACATCACACTATCCGGATGGGACATCTGTCAAAAACATGATACACTGGGCCCAGGTAGGTTCCCTGAAACGCAGGTGCTTCACCCCTGGGATGGTCCCTTCACTGAGAGTCTGGTGTATGCAGGGCAGACGTGAGAGGTCAGGGATCTTGGACATTAGCAGCTCATGAGAAAGTAAAGGCAAGAAATTAGGTATACAGAAGAGGCACTGGATGCAGGATGAAATGCCTGGGTCTCTCTGGGGACAGTGGGGTGTGAACCCTGGACTGTGCCAGGCAGCACAAGGGGAGGCCACAGCTGGATGCTGGGACCAGTTTGGGGCCCCCAGGGATCCCCAAAGCAGAGTGAGCCCAGGGACACCATGTCGATGGTGGGTGGAAACCAGAATGTACAAGGAGAGGCTGGGGGAGCTGGGCTTACTCAGCCAGAGATGAGGAGGTGAAGGGGGTTCCAACGGCATCTCCCCCTGCCCAAAGGGCTTGCGGAGAGACCGGGGCCAAACTATGCCAGCCTGAGCAACCTGCTGCAGCTGCAGCATTGGCCCTGCTGAAAATGGAGTCAGGCTGGGGAGCCCCACCCTGGTGCCCCCTTGCAGTACCAAATTATTGGTAACAGGGAAGTCGAAAAAGGTCTTTTCAATCAATGCAACTATTGTGCAGCTGTCTGAGCTTTCGCCCCTAGCATAGAAGCAACTCTTATAATTACTGGGCTCACTGATGTCTCTCTACTCTGAGCCCAAAGTGTCAAGATAAGGATGATCAGGTTGTTGAAGTAAAACTTGCCAACGTGAAGTTCACCAGCAGCATCCTGCACACACAGCACTGCTGGTGATGAGCAGGTCTTCAGAGGCACAAGCATCACGCCAGGGCAGCCAAGGAGTCACATGCAACACCTTGATTTGTCAACACATAGCTGGGAACAGGAGTGGAGCTGGAGGTCAAAGCATCATCCTGCTAAAAAAGGTGGAAAGTCTGGCTTTTCAGGGTTGCCACTTCCTCCTGCAATGTCCCGTGGGAGCACCCTCTCATGTTGTGGTCCCTTGAGGAGGCTGGGAGTTGCTCGCTGGCCTCCCACCGCAGATCTATCCTCTCCTCCCAGGTGATGAAATCGGGAGAATTCAAAGCCTTTGACTATGGCAGTGAAAACCCAGCTGTGTACCACCAGGTAGGAGGCTGCAGCAGCAGCACTGGAGGCTGGAGGTGCCAGGGGACTGTCCTGGGTGGTGTGGGGATGGGCTGGCCTGCAGCAGTTGACCACAATAACAGTTCCTCAGAGCCCCCTGTGTCCCTCCAGGAGACACCTCCCTCCTACCGGGTGGAGGAGATGCCCATGCCCACCGCAGTGTGCTGACTGGAGAGATGTCCACCTGCTTCTGTCCCACATCATCCACCTTGTCACCTATGGCCACATCCCTGACTGGAACCACTGGGACTTCATCTGGGGTTTGGATGCCCCCAGGCACCCCTACAGCAGCATCCTGGAGCTGATGGAAGGGTCCCAGTAGAGCATTGGCTCCCCAGGGAGGTGCTGGTGGCCTGGCCCCTCTCCCTCAGCCGCGACAGCCCAAGGAGGTGATGGGACATCCCCTGCTGTCCCCTACTTCCTGCTGGGCTGACATGCTTGTGATAATGGTTCTTCCTGCACATCCCTTGGTCGTCAGGGTTTGTCCCTCTCCTTGCTCGAGAGCTCCTCAAGGACCAGTGGTGTCACGCAGGCAGGGCAGTGCTGGAGTCAACTGAAGCATCAGGGCAGGCAGGAGTCACCAGCCAGGCAGCCCTGCTGGAAGGGCCCTGGGCTGATGGTGGAGCCATGTCCTGAGCTGCACAAGGGGGATGCGAGGACCCTGCTGTGAACCCACAGTGACTGCGCAGTGAGTCGGGGATTAGAGTACCCAAACCATGAGGAGATGGGAGGAAGCTGGGCCTGTTGGGTCTGGGCATGGGGAGGTGGGGGTGTCTGAGAGCAGACCCCAATTGCAGCACTGGCAGAGATGTAGGGGATGGATGAGACCAAACCCTTCTCTGCATCAACAGGCAATGCAAGGCAGGGTCCCAGCCCTGGATCACAGCCCAGGGGGATTCAGGTTGAATGTGGGGAATGCTTCTTCCCCCAGACAGGTCCCCAGGGAGGTGGAGGGTCACCATCTGGGGAGGGTTCAGGACTGAGCTGGACCAAGCTAGGTGCTTGCCTGCATCCTTCAGTCACAGACCTGAGTGGTTGGGTCTCCAGGAACGGCTGCACAGCTCAGCACTGACACGCTGGGACCTCCATCCCTGGGAGCCAGCGGCCCCAAATGCCCCGGGGCCAGGTCACCCCATGAAGGTGCCGCCAAGCTGGTGTCCTGTGGCAGTGCACAGTCTGTGGGGGGCGGGACAAGCGGGATCTCTGGGGCTGGCCCTGGAGGACAGC